TACTGCTCTGCAGGTATCTCTTGTGAACGCTGTGGCGTTCTCTAGGGCCTGCAAGCTTGCCGGATCCACGAGCTATTCGCTCAATCTGGCCGTCGATTCAACCTCTGCTCGCAGCTCATCCGTCTCTGACTCGCCTCCGGACCTCACCGGAATACCGGAGGAGTACCACGAGTTTGCGGATGTCTTCAGCAAGACCAAGGCGTATATCTTGCCGGAACACCGTCCGTACGACCTCAAAATCACCGTTGAGGACGGCGCTGTTCCACCCCTTGGACCTATCTATTCCTTGTCCAAGCTAGAGCTCGACACTCTCCGAGAGTACATTGACGAGAACCTCCGCTCTGGTTTCATCCGCCCTTCCAATTCTCCGTGCGGAGCTCCGGTCCTCTTCGTCAAGAAGAAAGACGGGTCGCTTCGTCTCTGTGTCGACTACCGGGGTTTGAATAAAATCACCCGGAAGGACCGCTATCCTCTTCCCCTCATCTCCGATCTCCTGGACAGTCCTCGGAAGGCCAGAATCTATACCAAGATTGACCTCCGGCACGCCTACAACCTTGTCCGGATTGCTCCAGGAGACGAGTGGAAGACCGCGTTCCGAACTCGATACGGATCCTTTGAATGGCAAGTCATGCCCTTCGGACTTTCCAACGCCCCGGCGGCGTTTCAGCGTTTTGTCAACGAGATGTTTTCCGACCTACTCGACGTTCACGTTGTGGTTTATCTCGACGACATTCTCATCTATTCCGATAACCCCGAGGACCACCGGAAACACGTCAAGGAAGTACTCTGGCGGCTCCGAAAGCATCACCTCTACGCTCGTGCGGACAAGTGCGAATTTCACGCCAACTCCGTCGAGTACCTCGGGTACATCCTCTCCGCTGACGGTCTAACCATGGCTGAGTCTAAGGTCAAGGCGATTCTGGACTGGCCGGAACCCCGCAAAGTCCGAGACGTTCAATCGTTTCTCGGCTTCGCCAATTTCTACCGCCGGTTCATTCACAATTACTCCGAAATCGTCCTACCGCTCACCCGACTCACCCGGAAATCCGTTGCCTGGAATTTCTCCGAGGACTGCCGTAAGGCGTTCAACGAGCTAAAGCAGGCTTTCACCACCGCTCCGATCCTGCACCACTGGATCCCCGACAAGCAGATCACCGTCGAGACCGATGCGTCGGACTACGCAATCGCCGGAATATTGTCCATTACCGCGGACTCCGGGGAAATCCACCCGATCGCTTTTCACTCTTGGACCTTGACTGGTGCGGAACTGAACTACGACACTCACGATAAGGAACTCTTGGCTATTTTTGAAGCCTTCAAGACGTGGCGGCATTATCTCGAAGGCTCCGAATCTCCGGTCGACGTTGTCACGGACCACAAGAACCTCGAATACTTCGCTACCACAAAACTCCTGACGCGACGTCAAGCGCGTTGGTCGGAGTTCCTCTCGCAGTTCAATATGATCATCCGATTCCGCCCCGGAAAACTCGGAAGCAAACCCGACGCACTCACGCGCCGTTGGGATGTCTACCCAAAAGAGGGGGATAGTGACTACTCCGTCATCAACCCACACAACTTCCGACCTGTTTTCACGCAGGAACAGCTCGCTTCCTCTCTCCGGGCAACCATTCTCCGAGAACCAGTCCTCCGCGCATCCCTCATCCACGACGAACATCTACTCCGTTCCGACATCCGGACTGCTCAGTCCGCCTCCTTCCCTGACTCTGAGCTCGCTGCCGGACTCGCTCTGGCCTCTCAGGGCGACAACGCACGCTGGTCCATCGACGAAGAAGGCTTCCTGCGTCTTAGTGGTCACATCTACGTACCGGACGTGGACGATCTCCGTCTCCGGGTACTCCGATCCCGTCACGACCATCCGACCGCTGGACACTACGGTCAGAACAAGACGCAAGCCCTCATACTCCGGGACTATTCCTGGCCCGGACTCCGTCTTTCGTCCGAGACTACTGCAAGTCCTGTACCGTCTGTGCACGAGCCAAAGTCCCCCGTCATCTTCCTTATGGCACGCTCAAACAACTCCCAATCCCCGAGCGACCCTGGAACTCCATCTCCATGGATCTCATCGAGCAGCTTCCGGACTCCGATGGTTTCACCGCCATCCTCGTCGTAGTCGACCGCCTCACCAAGCAGTCCATTTTCATACCTACGCACGACACCCTTACCGCTCCGGAACTCGCGGACCTCTTCGTCCTCCATGTATTCTCCAAGCACGGAGTTCCCTCGCACGTTACCTCCGATCGGGGCTCGGAGTTCGTGTCCCATTTCTTCCGCTCACTCGGTAAAGCCCTCGACATGCGCCTTCACTTCACCTCCGGTTATCATCCGGAAGGCGATGGCCAAACCGAACGAGTCAACCAGACCCTGGAACAGTACATCCGGGTCTACTGCAACTACCAGCAGGACAACTGGTCGCGTCTCCTGCCCCTTGCGGAGTTTGCTTACAACAATGCTCCGAATGCGACCACCGGAATTTCGCCCTTCTTCGCCAACAAGGGTTACAATCCGGCCCTCGCTGTTCATCCCGAACACGATCTCACTTCCGCGCGCGCACGCGAGTTTGTCATCGACTTAGACGAACTCCATACCTTGCTCCGGACGAATATCGTTCAGGCCCAAGCCCGGTACCAGGTCCAAGCAGACAAACACCGGCTTCCGGCTCCGGACTTTAAGGTCGGAGATACGTCTTCGTCAAAGCCGAACATTTCCGCTCCACACGTCCCGCAAAGAAGTTCTCCGAAAAGAACCTAGGACCTTATACCATTATCGCCCAAGCCGGTTCACATTCCTTCACTCTTCGACTTCCAGACACTATGCGTGCTGTTCACCCAGTCTTCCACGTCTCACAGCTCGAGCCCGCAACTCCGAACACCATACCAGGACGGGTTCAGTCTCCACCTCCGCCAGTCCTTATCGACGGAGAACGGAGTTCGAGATCTCCGAAATCCTGGACTCCAAGATTGACCGTCGACGTCGTGCCTGCCAGTTATTATACTATGTACGCTGGGCTGGTTACGAAGGAACTGACGAGGAAACCTCCTGGATTCTCGCCACGGAACTCGAAAACGCTGCGGAGCTCGTCTCAGACTTTCACGCCGCATATCCGACGAAACCCGGACCTTTAACCTCACTTCCGTAGTCTCCGACTCCGTTGCAATTCTTACGGGCAGGACCACACCGGAGTTACATTGGAGGAAAAAGAAAAACAATTTTGGGGCTGTGCCCGTATTCTACTCGTCATCACTACCCGACCTCTCCTCGTTCTCCGGGTCGTACTCACTGTCGGAGTCCGACGACTCCGCTTCCTCCTCCTCCATCTCCTGGAGCTTCTCCAGCTTCTCCACCATTCCCGCAAAGTGGTGGGCGACCACCCTCTCCCTTCGGTACGACTCCTTCTTCCACTCCGTCCGCGCCTCCCGGACTTCGCGACGGAGTCCCTGGACCTCCACCAGGAGGGCCTCGAGCAACTCCGCGCTCGTCATCCCGGAGCTCGAGTCCCGCTGCCAGATCCGACGACCATCGCTCAGGAGCATCTCATACTCCTGAGCCACGGCCATCTTCTTGGAGGATCCGGCCTCCGGCTCCGGCATCATCTCCACGTCGGAGTCCGCGACCACGGACTTCGACTTCTTCGCCGACCTCTTCTTCGGCTCCGACTCTTCGGCCTTCTTCGTCCTCTTCCGGGTCGTCTCCGGCTTCTCCGTCGAACCCTTGCATGCCGCCTTGTCGCGCTGGCATGCGACGCAGGACTTCTTGCGTCCCACGTTCTCGAAGACGCACTCCAGGCCCTTGACCCGGCACCGGTCGCACTCCGTGCTGTTTTCCCTTAGCCCCGAGTCCCGGACCATGGCATTGGGTACTCACTGGATCACTCCGGACGACTCCGGCTCCTCCGTCGCCTTCCGCTTCTCCGCCCGTGCCTTCTTCAACTCCTCCGCCCTCTTTTCCTCCACGGCCTTCTCCTCCGCCGCTGCACTCGCCCTCTGCTCTGCCTCGATGCGCTTAGCGTGCTCCTCCGCCTCCTTCCGCTCCCGCTCCTCCGCTTCCGCACGCGCCTTTGCCTCGGCCTCCGCCTTCTCCTTCGCCTCGGCCTCCGCGCGACGTCGCGCCTCCTTTGCGGCCTTCGCTGCGTTGAGCCTCTTCTCCAGCTCCTCGATGTCGTCGGCGGCGGGGTCGGGGTTGTGGGTGACAGTGTCGGACATGGTGGGGGCAACGGAGTACGGAAGTGGCGAGGGGATGGTAGTGAAAGGAGGTCAAGATGGGAAGATGCGGACTCCGAAAATTTTCAGCCTTATATCCGGTCAGATCTCAGATCTCGGCCACTTGCCATCACCTATGGATCTCAGGGGTTCGATCCAGTTGGGAGGCACTGTCACGTTCCGTGCCACCAAGACCACCTCCGAACTCCAGTTCCGTTTTCTCCGTCTCCGTTTCTCCGAACTCCGGTCTAATTGTATTCGCTTAGCCTATCTTCTCCCGCATTACAATTAGCGTACCGCATGGTCTCTATCTTGCACGGACAATTAGTTTATTGTATTCACTCCGGTTACTAACATCTCCGGTCTTCCGTTATTGTTTTCCGTATCCCTTCCTCCGACTTATTGTCTTCCGTTCACAATTAGGACTCTTAGTATAAAAGACCGAACTGTAGCACTGTTGTACTCCAGTTCGAATATCTCGTTTATCCTCGTCTAACCAATCCGATTTCCTTTCCTCCGAACTCCTGTCTGAACTCCGGACTTCCGTCCGACCTCTGTCTAGCTTCTCTCTTCTCTCTCTCGCTCTCGTCTTCTCCTCCTCCTTCCTCCGACTCTATCTCCGGACTCCGTCATAGTCCACCTCCGTCCAAGTCCAAATAGAGGACCTCGTCGAGTTCTCCCAGGGGCGTTGTTAATAGCTTCGCCAAGTCCTCATTCCACTGCGCTCCGAAACTCCGGACTTCGTAACTCCGACCTCGGACTTCGTCTCGAGCGCACGATCCTAACATCAAGCCTTCGAACTTCCTCTTTGGCCCTGAACCGTTGTCACAGAAGGTCTTCCTCGTCGACTTCGGCCTCGCAAAGCAATATCGAGACCCCATCCAGCATTTACACATTCCTTACCGCGACGGCTTACAACTCACCGGAACTGCTCTCTGGGCGTCCGTCAACGTTCACGTTGGCATTGCACACTCGCGTCGTGATGATTTGGAGTCGCTCGCATATGTTATTATTTATCTTCTCCGCGGATACCTCCCTTGGCAAGACCTCGCGACTGACGACATCTTTCACCGAAAACAGTCGCTGTCTCCTGCAGCTCTTTGCCACGATCTTCCCCTCGAACTCACCACATTCGTCACATACATCCGTAGTCTCCCATTCACGGGAGACCCCGACTATCTTTATCTGCACCATCTTCTTCAAAGCGCTACCGAACGAGTCGGCTCTGAGCCGGCGTGCATCGGCCGACCGTACAATGGCAAGGGGACTTGCAGGCCACTGCCTAGTGAAGGTGAGTATTAATCGAAGTTCGAAACAATGATTACTGATGTTCCATGTCTGTGTGATAGGTTCTGGCTATGGTTTTGGCAAGAAGCAGGCCGGCGTTGTGTAGGTTGATGTTTTGTGTACCTGTAGGCCGTACTTTATTGTTAGTATGCCAATGTTGTATCATCACGCGCTATACCCTTCGCCGTCGTGTCTGTCCCCGTGTGTCAAGTACTTACTTACGGTAGCACTGCGCGATGCTTGCATCGTAACGCTCACGTTCTCGCCCGCTCCGAATGCATGTTGTAATTTCATTGCAGCGACGATGGTCGTTGCATTCATTCACGCATATCATCGCTCACCCTCACGTCTTTTCACTCGCCCTCACGTCTTTTCGCTCGCCCTCGCGTCTTTTCACTCGCCCGTGCGTCGCCACCGTCTTGGTCAGGATTTCGGGACTGCTTCATTTGAGTCGCATTTTGATTTAATTTTAGATACACTGTTCTACGGTCGAAGAGCTCCTATTGTTCATTATAGCCTACTAGAATACATTGTAACGTCGTTCGCACAAAGACTATGGCTACCGACAGAGTACACCCTCACGAACCGGCATCTATGGTGAGTACTCTACCCGGGTTCACCGCCAGTGTCGGTGGTGAACCATGGGTGACATATGGGCTTGTCGCCGTGCACACACCCGCGCCCGCCGTCCGCTCCATGTGACCTCTGCAGTTCGCTCAGCCTCATGCCACTTGCCCACTTGCCCTCGCTGATGTCTGCTCGCCATCCGCTGGTCGGCTGTGTTTGCACGCGGGGCATTTGCCCTGCGTGTTTGCAATCACCGTGCGTGACGTGCTGTGCGCCTGGCACCGCCGCGCCCGCTGTCTACTTGCCCTCGTACATGGATGGTCCGTTCGGTAGGTCGTGCTTCCGTGGCCGGGTCTTTGCCCTGCGTGCTTGCGGTCGCCGAGGTTGCACCTTTCGTGCTCCGTGCCTCGTGCCCACTGTCCGCTCGCTGCCGCCAATCCCTGCCGCCAATCCCTGCCAGCCGCTCGTCGTGTGCCAGCGCTATGTCCACAAATAAATCGTGAGTTACTCACCGTGCATGGAATCGGGCGGCCCACCGTTCGTCGAGGCTGGCCCGATGATCGTGACGACATGCGAGACGCACTGCAGAAATAATAGCATTAGGAGGGCTGCGACGAGCTGAAGGAATGATGGCACTGAACTGTGACCGTACCTGTACCCGCCCCACTACCCCGCCGCAGCGGGTACGGGTGCAGCGCGGGTCAACAGGTATGAAGGATCACGCACCAGTCTGCGCGGGCGAGCCGGACGAGGGGGATGAGAGGGACGAGAGGGACGACGGACGATCGAGATTGACGAACGTGAGGGTGAGAGTGACAACAGAGAGAGGGCAAGGGCGAGCGTGCGAGGAAGAAGGAGGCCCAAATTGGGCGCCAGTGCGGTATGCAGGGGGCGAGTGCGGTATCGTGTGCAGTACGCAGGAAGCAGGTGGGCCGGCGGGCGCGGTAAGCAGAAAGTGGGCCGGCGGGCGTGGTTTGCAGATGCAGGCAATGGGCACACTATAGATGTGTTGTTCTCCTGGCGGCGAGTGCATTACAGGAGTATCGGTGTGGCGAACACCTCGACGTGAGCTAACAGAGTACCGCCATTTGATAATTGATTATAATTCGATTTAAATTACTCAAAGACCAGCTCAGAGCTGGCTCAGAGCCATGAGCCAAACTGATTTCGGTGCCTAGCTGCGAGTTGACTTGCTGACTAAGCTAGACAATGTTATTCTAAGTTGAGTTATTGGCTTATAAGCTATGCTTGTGGCTTAGCGAGCTGCAGCAACACTACTTGCGTCATTGTCATCGTCCAGTGCGATGGCCGTGTGTCGCGCGGGTGCGGAAGAGGACTCCCCAGTGGGTGCTGCGCGACTCGGGCCGGCTGTAGGGACGAATATGAGGTCTTGCGCTTCATCCTCATCCTCATCCTCATGTTCGCTCCGTTCTTCCGGCTCAAACGCTGCGTCTGATTGAACGAATGACGGTCCAGTGAGATCGTTATCGCGTTCATCCAGACCTTCACCTTCACCGTCACCATCCGGTTTCCCGCCGTCCTGAACAACCCCACTTGATGTGCTAGCTTCCGGAGCAGGCGATCGAGGACGTCTTTCAGAAGGTCAGTGACAGTTCTGGAAGGTAATTTTTAATATGTACTCGCCTCCGATTAGCACCCGCCTTCGGCTTCACCGTTGCACCGCGCTTTGCCCTACGGCCAACGCCCTCCTCATCCTCACTTCCAGAGTCCTCCGAATCAACGAAGATTTCACGTAGTTTCCCCTTCTTGTACCATGCGCACTGGCGGCTGGTCGACTGGTGAGCCATTAGGCCTTGCGTAGTGTCGAAGTAACCGTAGCACGCCTCGCAGGTTTGCGCGAACAGGTCCTCCAAGCATCGCGATCTCTTGCCCATGGCCTACTGACCGTGGTAAATCCGAGAACTGCACAATATCAGGTTGTACCTCCACTCACCTGTGTTCGCACTGACCTGCTTCGTTTTGCTGTTGAGAGTGCGTTCTAAGGTGAGTTTTTTTGGGTTCAGAAGGGTGCCGTAATATGCAGGCAGAACTGCGGCGTTTTAACGCCAGGGCGAGCGTCTTACGTCGCTCAGGGTCAGGCATGCTTGCCTCCAAGCACAACGTTCTTGACCCTCCGCCTGCTGTTTCTCTGTAAGTGTGAATCACCTCCGCAGACCGTTCTGTCCTGGTGCGTGTCTGATCTGTTAAACTCACCGTGCGCATACCGTGCGCATACTCATCAACTGATACCGCGCTGGAAAGGTTTTCAGCCTCTGCTGCGTGCCTAACGCGAGCACGACTGTGCTGGATCCTCTACACTGAGGTTGCAGGTGAGCACACAGATAACATCGTGATTCATAGAACATACGGTGTGCAATAGTGCTCTTACTTTCACCGGTACGTGCATTCGATCCACTATTGACTTGAAGGGCCTTCCTTATTGGGATGATTGCGGCGTCGATGATTGCGGCGACGCCGCAATCATCCCCAATAAGGAAAATACGCGCACCGGCCGCATACTCTGTGAGCAGTGCGTGCGTTGTAAGGACTGTTATGTGCGAGCATAGATTGGGCTTCCACCTTTGCCGAGATGGGGGGTGCGCGCAGCTGTCAGTTGCACACGAGCAGCACTGGCGCAACTGAGGTGATAAGCCGGACAAATCGCCGTCCTTGGCAGAGCCAACAAGGAGGCAGCGGTATACGGAACGCACGCGTGGACGTATCGTCATTGGACGATACACGGTCTAATTGCGAGGCTTCTTGCCGACTTCCTCGAGCTCGTGTTCAATACGAAGCCGGCATTCTATGAGGGACTGGGCTGCCGGCCTTGGTGGCTAGATTCTAGTGGCGCCCATGGGAATATTGTCGGTGTCCCATCCCGAATCCCGTGTGTCACATAACACGCCTTCTTCCTGTCAGTCCCCTCATACTCACGATTCACCAATGTCCTCTTTACGCTACGTTCAGGGTAGCGGTCCCCACATCGCCTCTCCCGGTGTTGCATCCGGTTCAGACGACGACCACGTCACTGACTACAATCTCTCCCCCAGCTTACAGACAAAGCCTCTCCCTACGGGTACCCACTTCTATACTTGGCCAGCAGACTCGGAAGGTAAGTACTGAACTCCTTATCGGAACGCATCACCGTGATCTCACGTACCGCCGTCAGCGCCCCTCTCCTCTCCGCCCTCCTCAGCGAGCGGCCTGACGTTCTCCGACCCGGTGATCGGCCCCGAGCACGAAGGTAACGAGCCCTACAACGAGATACAAGACCTGAGCGACCAGATCAAGCACTGGACCCTTGCCGACAAGATCTTTGGCGACCTCCAGGACGAACCAGATTTTCCTCGACTCTACGACACCTACGTTGTGCGCGAGAATATCAGCCCCGAAGATTGGCAGGCCACGAAGATTTACATCGAGACGCACCCTCTGCTTCTACGCTGTGTATCGTAAGTTCAATGCTTACATTAATATATGGCTCATCCGACTGACACGACTGACAATTGCCTGCAGTTTTGTCTACGACCCCAAGATGGGAAAACTCAAGGTCCACTCGCCGTCGGGCCTGCACCAAAGCGTAAACGATTCAGTGCTCGGTCAGCTTTCCGGCAACATCCAAGTCAAACGACCCCAAGCGATCACCATGGACCTCGAGCGCGGCCTCATCACCGACAACGTAGCGCATACGCCTGACATCGTGGTGAGCGTCGTCACGCGCAAGCGCCTTCGTGAAGGCGACATTTTCATGTCGCGCGACGTGTCCGTCAACGAGACATCCTTCACGCAAAGCGAGGACGACATGCTTAGTCAGGTGAGTTAAGAGTTACATCCCATCCGCATCAAGCATTATCTAATCGAACTCATAGCTCCTCGTTGCCATGAAGAAAGAACCCGACGCTGACCAGAGCCCTCTGCTCTTCACCGGCATCGACATTGAACGTCTGCCCTTCATCGATCCCGATCCGAATAGCCCAGACGCTGTGCCGGACGACGGCGGTTTCATTCGCGGGCCGGAGGTGCCAACGACATCTTGTCGACTGGCTGGAAGCGAGGCGACTGCGTAATCGTTCCGAGACTCAGGGCAAAATGGTTTGTCTTCCTCCCGGAGGATGAAGAGCAACTCGAGTACGGCCTAACCCATCATCACGATTCTCACGACTGGACCGTGTGGGGTTTAGCTGTGGTGAGTGGTACCTCCTTTTTTACGCGCCTTTTAGCTCATAGACACCGTCAGCAAATCCAAGAAGAGTACGAAGCGGGATCGGAGGCTGAGCAGTCGCTGCAACAGGTGCTCCATCGGTGGGTAAAGGCCACCATCAGCATACGCGAGGCAGCGCACAGCCAGAGGATACGCGCGCTGCTCAGCGAGGCTGATAAGACATTGGCCGATGACGTCATCAAAGAATTGGAAGGACTCCTCCTGAACCCCCCCGACTTCACTGAGCCTCCCGTTCCCAACCCCATACCTTTCTTCATAGAAGACATCTGGGGCGGCGCTCGGCAGAAGGCCCACGACGATGTGAGCCGCCACATGTACCGCGCCGACAACAATCGTAAACCGCGAACAAAGTCCATGGAAAACGAGGAATGCCTCCAAATCCTCAACAGCCTCAAGCGCGTGAAGGCCCATCATGAGCAGGACGGGGACACCGACGTGCTCAAGAACTTTCGAAAGAGACAACGCATAAACACTCCTCCGCGAAACCTGTCGCCCCCTCCCCCGCGTCGTGTACCAGGCCGCTTGAAGGCTGAAAATTTTGTGGACGAGTCAACGGACGATGAAGAACCGAAAGTGCGCAGCGGAGGCTCGGCGAGGTCGTTTGAGCTGCCGAGACCTCTCGCCGACACCAACATTTACTCGCTGGCCACCGGTCGTACTCTGAGGAGCGAGGCGAAGAGGGATTAGGTGTTAGATGCGGAGTCAGGAGAAGGACGGTTGTTGTCTACATATCTATCGGTTGTGCCCTCATTCTCTCACGTCGCTTTGACATCGTCCCATCATTTTCCGTCTTCCATCGCTTTCCATCGCTGTGTGTAGTATATGTCGTGTTCTGTCGCTTGTACCATCCTATCGTCTCAGTTTGTGTTGAGCTGTCTATATAATTGTGTGGTTCATTCTGAATGATGTTCAAATCAAATACTGCATTCATTCGGCCCTCACGAGTGTTGGGCGCCTCTCGTCAGTATCGCTACACAGAGCATCTAGTATTAGCTCACTGCTTTTTTTCTCAGCTCACATCTACTTGGATTATGGCCGGTTTCAACAGCGACAATTGTTGGATCACTATTGACGAACAGAATTGTTTGATCCAGCTGCTGAGCAACACTACGCATCTCAACCAAGTCTTGGCAGGCTTGCTGGCACGATTACAAGGCGTTTCAAATGTTCCCAAGAACCCTCCGATTGAGACAGGTACTTATAACAATTGACTTCGATGCAGCGTCACTGATCAACGTCTCATTGTACAGTGGACCCTGGCAGCGGAACGTCCGCTGGGTCTTCTCGGTCTTCAGTGCCAACTCAACGCCAGACTCGCGCGCAAACTCGACGGCTATGGAATGAAGTGCAGCATGGTAACACCGCAGACAATGGGCCAGTGAGCTTAATCTTTTCTTTATTAGCGGTCCAGTATTTGATGCCAGTACTCTGAAAAGTGACCACTCAGGCCGACGATACCTCGGGCCCCGGCACGGTTGGACCAACCAGGCAGACGCGGTCACACCATAGAGTTACTCAACCACCGTATGCTTGCCACAAAAGCAATCCAGTCCCCCGATCCTCTCATCGCCGAGATGTCCTACGCCGACGGTCCCGCTCGCCGTGCTGGCGCGGAGGTTTCAACTTCTCTCATGCGGGCGCCGCGAATCTGGTATGGGAATCAGACCAACTAACGGCACCGTCACAGTCCTCGAAGGCCACTGTTCACAATTTCTTCACGAAGCTCACAAGCAACCTGGCGGTTCAGGGTGTTGTGGACTGCTGTAAGTCCATGCACGTCGGCACTGTCTCAGTAATCGGTTCGCAAAGTTGTGCGGCCCGAGCAGACGATTCTTTGACCAACCTCACCAAACGATGCGCAATGGCTTTGAAAGACGACGCAACCTCCGACTTTGTAGTCATGTTGCGACTCATCCAGCTTGCATGCCGCTGTAGCGAGTACGTACTATGCCCTTCTGTTTCTTTGTTGATGAGCTTACCAATGTCCTTTTGCAAGCTTGAGACAGGCTGAACCCGGCCTCACCAATACCGACATTTGGCAAGCGAGCTGGAGGAAAAGAAGACCGTCGCGAAGAGAACATTCCTTGACTGGATTGCAATGGGTAGCAAATTTGCATTCGTGGCGGGAGGAGGTAAGTCCGGTAGAAACGTCTTAGATGAGTGCTAAACAAGAATGAATCGGCCAGGCTCAGTGTATCTACTAGTCATGATCGCCATCCAGAACCTCAGGGTTCCTTTGGGCGCGATTGATGGCCATTCCGCCCAGGACATAGGCAACATGCTACGATGGCCGGATGGTAAGCATCTTCAGCCTGAGAGAGCGGTCGACTAATAAGCACACAGACTCACAGACGGGACGAATGGTGAAGGACACGGTGATCCCAACTGTATCACTCGTACAAAAGCACTACCCGACGATGTTTGAAGACCTATTCCCAATGTCTAAGACAGGCCGACCGACCTCTACCCTGTCCTGGATCGCAATGATGTGTTTTTGACACTCTCAAGTTCAAGTAAGTCGCTATCCGAGCAGTGTAAGTTAACATTCATATGCTCACAACTCTTACAGTTCGTTCAAACTTGTTCCAAGGATGCATACTGCTTGGGAGCCTTGCAATCAAGCCGTCCTGGTCGATTCACCTGCCGTTGCAACGTCGTCAGTGCAAACCCTGC